AAGAAAAAATTTGAATAGAAATATTTGTGCCATATCCTGTGGGTGGCAGAATGGTCAGGGAAGAATAGAACCACAAATTTGGCACCCAATTTCCTAGCAAGACTTAAACATATTTATGAGACTCAGAATGTCAACTCTGTGCACCTTCAGAGAGGTGCTACTCGGTGTTGAAATGAATCACTTCCAACTTGTAAGGGAACCAAGTAGAAATTAAAAGGAACATTTTCTTGTCATACTGGCCAAGGAAATCAGCTGTATTCTTTCTGAACTTAGCTTGGTCTGAGGGGGAAATTCACAGTTCCTCTTCTAATGCTGTTCCCTTCAAAAAGTCAAGGGAAGGTTGCCAAAAGCATAAAAGATATAAAACCCTACCTTCTTGAGATACATAGTAAAATCAAAACACCTTAAATGATGCAGTGATACCATTTATACAAAAGTTAAAATGCTTAAAAGTATGTTATACATTACTTAGTAATACATATAATAAATAGTAAAACCATAGAGACATGAGAATAAATAAAAGCTTAATATAAAACAGGAGCTATCTCTGAGGAATGAGAAGGAAATAGGATGAGATGTGCATTGAAAACTTAAATAATATTTGTAATATTTTATTCCCTAAGACGGGTTATGGAAACAGAAGTAATGATTATATTCCATATGCTTTCTGCGTGTCTAAAATAATATACAATAACAAAAAAATAAACATACAAAAAAGTCAAATGATTGGGATTTTTCCTTTTGGACACCCTTCTTTCCAGGTTCCGTAAGATACATGTTAGTAATTAAGAAACACCTACCTGTTGGAAATTATTAGTTTAAAAGAATATGGCCACTGTTCATCAGATTTAGCCAAGCATAAGCCAAAGATATTCTTGCTGATTAAGCAAGAAAACAGGAACCTAGCAGAATAATTTCACCTGGGCCACTGAAGAACATAGTCTTTCCAGTTTTTAGAGAGGGTGTGTCTATTGGTTTTCTCAATCTTATTAACTACATTAGAATAAGACTCATTGATTCTCATCAACTATTCCTTGATGAAAATAGTCAGGGAAATGAATAGCACAAACTGTGAATCAAGAATTTCCATCAAGGCCAGGTGCGGTGGCTCATGTCTGTAATCCTGGCACTCTGGGAGGCTGAGGTGGGAGGATTGCTTGAGCTCAGGAGTTCAAGACCAGCCTGAGCAAGAGTGAGACCCTGTCACTACTAAAAATAGAAAAAATTTGCCCAGTGTGGTGGTATACACCTGTAGTCCCAGCTACTTGGGAGGCTGAGGCAGGAGGATTGCTTCAGCCCAGGAGTTTAAGGTTACTGTGAGCTAGGCTGATGCCATGGCACTCTAGCTCTAGCCTGGGCAAAAAAAAAAAAAAAATTCATCAAAATGGAATCAAAGGAAGAATATGAGTGGTCAGTTTGTGTGATAGCAGTCCAGGATCTACTTTCCTTACCACACTTCTATTCTCAGGGAATCAGTATTA